TTTTGGTTCCTCGAATGCCTTCAGGGCACTTTTGGCCAGCGGGAGAGGTGTGAGTTTCGAACTCCAGCAACCTGAGGCTGACAGCTTTGCAGAAGCAGCCACTTAAAGGACTGAGCTAGAGCCAGGCTCCCCCTAACTCACTTTAATAAACTGATCTTGTCAGCAAAATACTACAGTTCTACATGTTTATACCCCTAATGAAATAGCATGCATATAAATAATCTGGGTATTGTGGAAAATGCCTGAAATCCCAGCACACTGGAGGCTAAAGCAGGAGGATCACTATCAGTTACAGGCCAGCATGGACTTCATAATAACACCCTGTCTCAAAAGCAAGCAAACAAAATACATCAAAATGAAACTTCAGGGTGAAATGGATATATTCAATAAATTAAGAACAAATAGAGACATGGAATAAGTGCTTCCCTGGCAAGCGCAAAGGCCTGAGTTCAATCCCCAGTTCCATCAAAAAAAAATAGAGACTGGGTGTGGTGACATGCACCTGTAATCCCAGTTCTTGGGAGGTTGTAAATAGGTGGATCATTACAGGTCAATCTGGTAGTGAGAACCTGAACACCCTGTAGGCTCTTCCCTAAAATACAAAAAAAAAAAAGTAAAGCACAAGAGTTGAACAGTAACTTCAACAACTTGATATAATGGACATGTGATATGCAGAACTCTATGCATTATAGAATACAGATTCGCCTCATGCACATGTTGAACCATTAAGCAAAAAAGGCAGCTCTCACTGAGCGTAGTGGCACATGCCTGTAATCCCAACACTTGGAAGGCTGAGGCAGGATTGCTGTGAATTTGAGACCAGGCAGAGCTATATAAGCAAGTTCAAGGGCAGCCTGTACTATATAGCGAGACCCTGTCTTCCCCTCCCACCCACCCCCCCCCCCAAAAAATGAAAAGACTATCCAAGGCTGGGCATGGTGGCACATATCTATAATTGCAGGACTCCAGAGATTGAGGCAGGAGAGTCAGAAGTTCCAGACCAGCCTGGGATACATAGCACATTCAAGACTGACTGGTCTGAACTATATAGAAAGACCTTGGAGGCTGAGGCGGGAGGGTCATCACAAGTTCAAGACCAGCCTGGGCTACAAAGTGAGCTCAGAACCAACCTAAACTGCATACTGGGGCCAGGGAGATAGCTCAGTAGAGTAAGTACCTGCCTGGCAAGCGTAGGGTCCTGAGTTCAATCCCCAGTGCTACAAAAAAATAAAATGACTGCATATTGAGACCCTGGCTCAAAACAAAAAAAAGAAAAGAAAACCAGTCAGGGCAGGGGACACACACATCCAGGATTCTTGACTATAATATGATTTTGTTAGAAATAAATAACAGGCGGGGAGATAGCTCAGTGGAATAAGCACTTCCCTGGCAAGCGCAAGGGCCTGAGTTCAA